AATCAGAATATGTCATCATTTACGATTTAATGGAAAAACCGCTGTCAGGTTGTCTAAAGCATATTTTTTTGAAAAGTTGAGTCTTGATTTTTGGAGTAAATATGTTCATTACGGAGTTCACCTGTTTCAACTGGGACTGATTGCAAGGCCTCATCAATCCCCCAGCAGGACTCGAACCTGTGAAGTTAGCGACCGCAGAGATGGTTTTGCCAAGCTTTTGTCAGTTTTCAGCTATTTTGAGCATTATTATTGCTCAGATCAACTCATAGGGTCGTGCAACAAAACAAAACAAAACAAAATACAAAACACAAACCTTATTTTCACTAAATCTTGGACAGACTTACTGACAGTGCACTTCAAAAAATCGGCCAAACGTACAGTTGTCCGGTATTAGGCTTTTGATGGCGTAGAAATATAAAGAACTGCTATTGCATGTGCCGAAACGTGAAGTGACCCCATTTCCATTCACCCCTGAGCCCCAAAGAGGCAGATATTTTGTGGAGATTTTTTCACAGTCACTCAACATACTATTCGGAAATGTGTGGAAATGTCAGTAGATATACGATAAAGTGTGTCGTATCGCCAGCTTTGTGTACAGCACTTAGATAAGCATTTATATTCAGCAAACCCATTCGGAGATATCTCACAAAATCAGCTCAGCTCGGATGAGGTTTATTCTAAACTAGCCCAAACCATCAGGATGATTGATTTTATCCAATTCCCTTCACGTCATATATGCGGGAACGTATGACATGGGCGAAATTAAAAGATACACACGGTCGCAACGTCTGTCGACCCTAACAACAACTCAGTAATCCTATGTTGCCAAAGGTGATTTAAGGATCCGCTTCACCCAATTTCTAATGGAAAGATAATGTTTACAGCATATACAGATAGTCCGGTGAGCTTTCTTGACCTTTTGGCCCGAATCAGCTGTATAAATGGTACCCTTCTCTTATGACGCCACTTAAGTGATGCGTCATCCATCCGAACTGAGCGACGATTCCTCAGGAACAGCAATAACCAGAAGGTCCCAGTAAAACGAGCTGGAGAGGACCTTTGGTAAAAAGTCACTTACGCCGACTCGGGTCAGGCTCCCTCAATCGAAGTGCCATGCAAATAAATAAAGCAAGAAATCAGTCATCAAAAATCCTTTGGCCAGTGTATGCTTCGTATTTGTTTGTGTCTTCGCATGATCGCCCGGGGGAGACAACGATCACGTCGAAGCCTCGGCAGATCAAACTTGTGATGCTTTGCTGACGACCTCGCTGCTCCCGAGACTGTTGGCCGGTACGATTTTGTTGGACTAAAGCAAAATTGGCCGCAGTCTTGGCCTAAAATCGCAACCAGAAAGGCCTCTGTTGATTTTGACTTCATCTCCTTCAGGCCTGTCTTGTTTCTTTCCGGAGCTTAACTGATTCATTTCACACTTCAAAGGGGATTAAGAGTTGGATTTTTTCATAATCATATGAGTAAACCTTTCGTGTTCATAGTCTTGAAATCCTGCTTCTAAGCAAAAAATAAGGAATAGAACTAACGGAACCATTTTATGTCAACATGAAATGTCCGGTCAAGAGGAATCCGCCGTCGTCTTCTGGTGGAACCGACCTTCGAATCTATTCAGCCAACACTTTCACTCGCAATCAAAGTAAGCTCAACAGTGTAAATGTGTTCAATGGTATTCGGAAAAGCACGAGGGGCGTAGAAATAGACCTTTGGTCAGGCTCCGATCCACAGCAGATTTCGCTTCTGCTATCATCTGCAGAGCAGCATAGACATGCACACATGCAAAAGGTTACATATCAGCACGATAGGATTGGCTAAACTAGGCCACTCCTTGCGTTTATTTGTACTCAAATCGGCCCCCAATGAAAGACGGATCGTCGTCGACAAACGGAACAAGTGTCCCTATGGGACAATATTGCGAGCTAGTCTCTCATGCAAGCAGAACGCCCGAGTTGCCCTCTGGTGTATGAAATGATGACTAAAGTCTTCCTCATTTTAACCACAAAATGCATAATGGAAATAACTTCTTTCAACCACAATCTTCTGTGAACCTTCATTATATGACCAGACTTTTTGAGAGTCATTCGTCCGAATTCTCCTTAAATCCCTGCTAAGTGTAAGTAGTACATAGAAGTTTCCTGAACTCGGCTGTCAGAAAGAGCGGTTTTTCAACATTAATTAGGTTTAAAACTTCATGAACCTTGTCTCCGATTGTTCGTCCTTTTGCCCAAACTTCGCGGCCAATTTGAAATGGCTTCTAAAACGGACATCAAATGATACTAGCTAGCGGTTACATCCCAGTCTATTTATTTTCCAAAAAGTGAGAAAGATCTTCCAAACAGTAGAACTAATTTGTAGCTTTAAAAACTAAAATGGGGCGACCTTTAGTTTGGTCGCCGTCTATTTCAGCTGCACAGATTTGCGTTGTCCTTGTCTGAGCAATAGACTTCATAGAACATATCCCACACTAAAAACTTCTTTCCTTCAACGATCCAATATGTGAAGGAGACCTGACATTTGTATAGCGGGATTTTTGATTAAGCAAACATATATTTGCCAGTACACTCGACGACATTACTTAGTTTCTATATAAGTAGGTTTCGGGACTATCCGTAATTTTGTAATAGAAACTTGCCTTAGGTTGCACGTACCAAAAGATACTATTCAATCATACCGTAAGAGAAGAGATGCATCGGTTTGGCAATCAAAATCACAGCCTTAGGCAGCACATAAGGCTGAACTGTCATTGTTGAGCTCACTTCCATTTCGAGTTAAAGTGTTTGGTGAAGAGATTCAAAGGTCGATTGGCTCAACTGGAAGTGAGCCCAAAAATGATTAATCAGGAGATTTCCCGAAACCCAACTTTTCTTCGTATACTCTTTTATTTCCGCCTCGCCTCATCGTCTCCCGCTCACTTCGGAGGCGATTCGAACCGTGGTTTCCTCTGTTTGATTGAAAAACATGGGTTTTGGGGATGAGGAAAGAGGAAGATGTGAACCGAATGACGCCTGTTTCTGAATTTAATTCCTGCCTACCTTTCAAGTAATCGACGAGTCGAGTTTTCCTGCCTGGACCCGAAGAGCCGAGATTCGGGCCCCACCAGACGGACTGATGAAGTGGAAGCGAGGTTAATCTGTAGTCGGGCCCAGATGAGAACGGAAAAGTTGAGTATTCTGATAGCAGCCAAATTCTCGATGGAAGCACCCTTTTCTTTACACCCCCATCTAGGGGTATCCTTTCTCCATGGTCTCGAACACCATGTTGACAAACGGTCCCCAATCGTACATATTCGGGGCCTCATGTACTAGTTGGCGCATAAACTAAAATAAAAGGTAGTACGATCAAGCCTATTGGAGAGCTTGTCACAAAAATAAGAATATAATATAAGTTCATTCAAGAAAAATATTCATCGATATGAAAACCAAGATGATGTGGCCTTTATTTTGGTCGCAGTTTCCTTTAGCCCTATAGTGTTGGTACAACGTGTACGCAGCGTCAGGGAGACGTTATAGAACGTATCTAGTCCTGTGTCCTTGGGTATGTACCAAGTTAATAGTCCGAAGCTGGGAATCACGAATACTATGGCAAAGGACACATGACTTAGGTACGCTCCACAATGTCTCCCTGATGCTGCGACTAGGATGCGAAAGCAAGTTCGAACAAACTCTAAAATATTCCTGTTTTTTTATAATACAAATTGCAGTATGACTCCTGGAATTTTTTTTCCAAACGCAGTGAACTGAAAGTAAACATGCCTGCACTATTAATTTTTCATATTTGATCAGAGTCTAGCTTGTAGATGATAAGATAATTCAGGTCATTGGAGGATAATAACCTTTTATACATCAGACGTAGGGAGTGCTTAAAACTTACAAACTGTCGCCTTTCGAAAAAGACCTATTTTGCCTAAAGTTGTTTAATAAAACCGCGTGCAAGTTTGGCCAGAGCAATGAAGCGGAGATACATCCTAAGCTGTACGGTACCTCAGCTTTCAGGAATTAGTGTATTTCTCTAATCGGCCGTTCATAGAGGCTCACAGTATTTTCAGGCATGGAGCTCAATCATCACTACTAATAAATCCTATTAGCACAAAAAACAACTCCAAAAAAGGCTAGCAAAGCTCGCAAGTCTCTGTGTCACTTTTAGAATCATCATATTTCTAACATAAACACGAGTCCGTCTAACCGGTCCAGGAAGCAGCCATGCAGAGAACAGAAATGGACTGAGCCATGTACGGTACTGCAGGGAGTAATTGACGTTCTACATATGATTAGTTGAATTGCAAAATGAAATGCGTCCCAAAGGACCATTATTACCAAGGCTAAGCATCAGTTTTAACCCACTGTCATAAGCACCCTCAATGGCTTTCAAAATCAAATAAATAATTAAACTCGACGATGCTACTGATAAATGAGTAAGTAGTACTCATACGTATCAAAATTATCATAACAAACAAGTTATCATATGTTGCCCTTACAAATTATTATATTTATGCTAATGTAGTCGAAAATCTATTTTAAATAAGAGCTTGCTTTGTGAATACCCGTCTCGAATAGAAATTCGAATCGGGAGGGATCGGGCCAGCTTTGAAGTTCCCGCCACCCCTGAGGCCGCTGATGAGATTCAAGCGAGATGAAGGAAACAACTTAACCTAGGCAAGGATATGTAAAGATGGGGGTCTCTATTAATTTCATTGTCGGAAATTCAATTATTTAGCCTATTATCTACTAAAGTGGCCCAATGGTATACGTATTCTTGATAAGCGGCTTATTTTAGTCGTTCTTTCTGTCCTCAGAGTACAGCTGCTATTTGAGGCAAATCTGGCGATGAGCCTCGATATTTGAATAAGAGAAGATGACAACGTTTGAACGCTGGCCTGTTATGGTAGGGAAATTACACTACGAGAATAAATTTTCTTGCATTCTCCGTTGCGAAACCCACTAAAACAAGAGAGAAACAGCTATTTTAAAGGTCGTATAGAGGCGAATGAAAAGTTGCATGGTGCAAGAAGATTCAGGGCAGCTTTCGGAAGCCTAGCAATTATAGGCTGTCCTCAACAAGTTGAGAACCGCTGGGTATCATTGTCACCATCTAGTACAAGGGAACTAGAAATCTTCCATTGAGCAAAGATAAGGATTTGCAGGCAACAAAATAGCTCTTTCTTTCTTCACTAAAAGAAAAATATTTCTCTTTGTTTTTGTTTCAGAGACAGGATCCATTTGAGCATCTTTGATTGTTGGTGCTCCCTCTTTTGCCGCCCGATAAAGACTTTACTTGTTATGTGAAAAATACCTTGTGAGGCCGAATGGGCACTTCCAGTCGCAAAGCTAGTGTACATGAAGGCGAGACTTGGTTCCGATAAATTTCAGGCATTAGAATAGCATAGAAAGATTAGAATGTAAGTAGTGAGTTATGTAATTGCATGCCACAAACTTTTTGGATAAGTTAAAAATCGAAAGACAAGAGCACAATCAACTTTGACGCAAATTTTCAAGATGAAGTGACACCCGCGAAATTATTGGCGCGAATTCTGATGACTGAAAATGGTGAAATTCGATGATGGGGTCCAATCAACTTTTCGGAAATTTGTGGCATAATCCTACAAGTCTTGCATTACTGTGCCTCATCGCGACGTAAAGCCACACGTCTTCACCATCTTCAATCGACCTCTGGTAGCTACCACAAGTCCAGATTCGATTAAAAAATTGTATGATGCCGTAATCGCATGACATGTCAAGTTGTGTCCTTCATAAATGTTGGGCACCAGAGCTATAAAAGAAGACAGATCCTACCAAAAGAAGCAGATTGATCCCTTTTTATCCTTAGTCGTTTAAGTTTATCATCATCCTCGGGATGAGCATAGTCCACAAGACGGATGACATTCAGCATTAGAGCTAGATCTGATTATAACCGTACTCATTCGTTCAATGCATCAAGATTACACAGTTGTACAAGGGCTAAATCACCAGGTCGCCTAAGTGGAGTTGGGATTGAAATTCCAGCTTTTCCCAGAACGATACAGGTTGGCCAAACGAAGCAATTGAATTTTACTTAGCCTCATCCCACAAAAACGTATCCCATCCAGGATGGATTGCATCGGCGCCATTAACGGAATTCTATACGACACTACTTATTTTATGTGTAAGTAGAAATTTAGTCATCATAGGTTAAGTGCAATCCAATCGCATTATGAGACCTACTCATCTCATTGTGGGAAAAAACTTAATTCTCAGTTCTCAAGTCACCTTAAGCGACCTAGGAAGACCAAGTTCTTGATTTAAGACTTACTTTTGATCTCAAAATCTAATCCCGTCGAGAATATATAATGACAGTCACGCCTCGCCCTTGGTAGTTAACATAAATTACTCGGAACTTGGATGACATTACTGACGAAAACTGAACAAGTCATGTTATGACCATCTACACACTTCTATGCATGTTGGTTGCTTTTTTGATGTGAGTACATGAAATATGCATGAAAGTTAGGACCGGATAGTCTTCTTGACTCGCTGGAAGCTCAGGCCCTTCTAACCTGAACTGAACGAGGATGTCTGTAACGGGAATCAGTCTTCTCCTCGTGAAATTCGCATACGAATCTCTGCATTACACATTTTCACTCGAAATTCTATTATTACGTTTCCATTAAAACTCATCGTCTTGCTTGCCAAAAGGTATTCCCATCTAGAGTGGACTGCAGTTTCGACCTCGATTTAACTAGTTTCATCAGAATCCCCAGAAAAACGTGTTGAGGCTTTCCGGGTTCGAGTCCCGTCGAGGGTCCTAATGGGACCTAGGCTAGGTCTAAAAGCGGTCCAC